GGTCATAAGTCGGTCGCTGATGGCATGCGGCAGACAGGGCTGTCACCCTGTGCTATTCTTCCGGATGTCCAAGCTTACCCCAGTAAGGTGTTGTGCCACGAGCTTCCGCGCCAAAAAGAAGAGGCTGTAGCGGTCGAGGATGTGCGATCTACTAAAGCGCTGCAGTAAGATTATTCCGTCTGATAGACGAAGGCAGTCAAATGTTAGGACAAGGCAAGTTGAAGTGAATAGGCTGTTTGCTTGCGAGAGGTAAGAGCGTCCGCCTGGGAGCTTGTCAGCAGAAGTGTTTTGTGCACGCGTTTTTCATTGTTCTTTTGAGGACGCCAGAGTGCGTGTGGGGTCTTCTAATATATAACCAAACGGTACGAACGAAAGGATAGTCGATCACACGGTCACTCAGTTGCATTTTGCTTTTACCCCATTGAAAAGTATAACAAGTTACACACACGCTACTGTTGTGATTTTAGCAGCACCTTTTACCCAAACTACGCAGGCAACGGCCAATGCACCTTCTTCACGCAAAACATCCCCATCACCAGCCGGCCCACACCGGCCAAGGGCATTCATGAAAGAAACCGCAGCACGGATGCTATTACTACATCTGGCTGTTACTGCCCCCTCCCCCTCCCCAAGACGATGTATGAAAGGGCGTCACAACACACGCTACCTCACAGCGTTATATGCTACAGTCTCCCTTGCAACGATTATGCAGTTTACTTTGTACAATACCCGCAGAACTTTTTCAACCGATGCACGCACAATCGAGACGAAAAAAAGCGTACCGACCCCAAATTTTGGCGAGCGGTCGTGCGTCAAAAACGTCTCGGAAGCCGTCGACCGCCTACTCGCACCACTTTCAGTTGGAGTCCCACACATGCCGGAGTCAGCCGTAAGGGGTCAGATAATTAAACCAAAAGACGTACTGCCGTGACGAGAAGCGTTTGGAGCCGTCTACAGGATCTGGTGCAGCTGCAGACAAAGCAACTACGTCGCCTGCGACTGCTGACCTGTTCTGTCTGCGAGTTTGAATCTTTAGTCCTGACAGAAGTTTTTGCAGAACGACCTCCGAGCGCGTATGATAAAGGGCTTTTTCGGTTTTCATGTTACCTCAGCAACGAACCTATCGATCGCTGCATTTAAAATATGTTCCCTTGAAGCGATGTATAAAAGTCTCAAAGGTTAGCATGGTCAAGATCTATGTATGTTAAATATTGGGACTCTAGTTAGGCTGCCACGAAGTCCAACAGGTCTGCGAAACACTGACCTATATGGAAAGCTCAGACCGGATTCACACGAGATTCTTGGCAGTTTTCTAAGTGCACGCTGCTGATGGACGCAACATCGGAGACCTCATTTGCATGAATCGAGGAGAACATTCGTATACCAGGTTTAAAAAGAAGATTCGTAGCTAACCCGAACTATGGACGTATTCGTTTGAGTTTTCGATCTCTGACTGGAGCCGAGCGTCCGAAATAATAGCGGCAACAAAAAACAAGCGACAGTTATATAGAGCAGGGGCCAATCAAACACCAGTGAAGTTCGGATTTTAGTTGAACCCCTTCTTGACGTCCCTAATTGAGTAACAGTGTCGAATCGAGGATAGTAACACCGAGCTCGTGAAGTTGACGACGAAGGACGTGTCCAAACCATCTCAGTCGTCTTTCTTGGATGGTCTGAGGTGTCGTTGCGATGCTGTCGCAGCGACTGTGGACTGTCTCATTTGAGACGAAGTTGGTGTACTTCACTCGAAAGATGAGCCTTAAGCAGTGATAGTTATACACCTCCAGTTTTATTTCATCTTCCACGCACATGGCCTAGCATTCAGTCGTAGCGAAGGACAAACCGGACAGATGCACGGCACACGCACACCTTAGTGGCAATGGAACTATCACATCGGGTCTATAAGCACTCTACGAGCTGGAAGCGCCTGGGGACAGTAGCGAAGGTTTTCGTATTAGCATCTTTAAGACTTATGCTGCGGGAGTTCTCGCATCTTGTCCTATCTCCCTTCTTCTAGACAGGTACTAGTATGTCTGAACCCTAGTCATCAGAAACGACCTCGTTTCTCCACGTTTGGCCAATCACCTCATGGAGTCAAAGCGCCAGCGTCGACATTTGTAAATTTCCGCGGGTACAACGTTCTCCCCAGGTGCCCTGCTGTTGCGTATAAAATTTAGTTTCATATTGACCTATTCGTCTCCTCATGTTACGCGGTGATATTGGATCTAGGACAATTTTGCTGAATTCAGTCGGCTGAAGAGAAGCCTATTCAACACACCTCGGCTACCTTTAAAATGGCGCGAAGCATCATGGTTATAGCCCAGTATTTCGAACCCGACTAATAGTCAGAAGAAGCCAAGAGAGTGGTTCCGATAGGAAGCCTTTATTCAGGACAATACAGAG